TAGATATAATTTTTTTTATCAAAAAATAATAATAATTTTTTAACTTTTGCTATAAAAATTATAATCGTTACGGTCCCTGGGGAAAACACGAACGCTCCTATTCAGAGCGAGATCGAGTGTTTATGCTTGATTCCGTTTATCTCGGAAGCTGATGGTATACGTTCGAATTATTAACAGTCATCTGCGAGCTATGATTTATATTCAATTCACAATTTTGTTTTATCGATTCGAAATTCTTTAAACTGAGATCCGATTATAACGTCGCTCAAGAGACCGTCCGAGGACGTTACATTTATAATTTTCGCCGCAATAACCATACGGACTACGGACAAGTCGTTTTTACTGTATATAAAATACATCAAATTTCATACATAATGTATGCCGTTTCACTTAAATGCATTAAGTTACAGAGAAATTACGAAACGACGACGAAAATCCTGGTGCCCAAACTTATATGGTTATGACGTCTTCCGGGTATAACGACGGTCTCTTAAGTGTCGTTACAATCGGATTCTACTGTACTTGGCCGGGCAATCAATAAGCGTATAAGCATATGGCAATGACCGCTGGGCAACGTCAAGTGTTTTCTATACATGCGGAAAAAAATATTCTAACTTGCAATTTTCAGACGCTAATTTAATTTAGATTGCGCAATTAGAGTTAGAGTGAGGTATACTATAATTATATATGAAGTGGCGATGTCGCTTGTCAAGTTTACAAATGTTGGTTTTAGTCTAGGCCCTTGTATCGGGTTTTCTTCCATTTATATACTATTCTCTAGTAAATTTGGTTTGTCAATGTTCGTCCATATAGCTGTCCGTCTCTTCGAGACTATTGAAGCCATCTTTGGAGCTAGGATCTTTAATTTGCATGCATTATTTATGGAAATTTAATTTTGGTTTAGATACCGGCTCCAAGCTAGCAGCAGATCAGGGGTATTTTCCTATATATGTACACACATTCATCATTGATTCTACGCGTACGGACAAAAACCCGCGCATTTAAGAATGTTCTAAGAATTGTGATTGATTTCCGGATTTTCCAGCTGTTACTGAAGTTCTGTCAGATGACGCTCTGAAGTTATTTATGTTAGCTACTAGCGTGGATGGTAAAGGCAACGCAACTCCATTTTAGAGTAGCGAGACTTCAAAACATCTCTGAACGATTGAAAATGGGAAATCAGGGTTTTGTTGAAATGTATGTAAACGGCAGAAGGAGGCGTGGCAGAGCCAACAAAGTATATTCTTGATCAGGGCGACGAGCTGAGTTGATTTAGCCCTGTCCGTCTGTCTGTCAGTATGTTTGAACGCGTCGATTTCAGAAGATTTAAGAGCTAGAGACCTCTCTTTTTTTTTAAATGTGCGTATATACAGCGCGGATATCGAGTTTATCACAAAAAATCGATAAAAAACCTTATCGAAAATCAGTTAGAAAATTATTTATCCTACGACTTTACTGCCTAATTTGAACACTTTTAGACCTAGAGACTTCAGATTTACTGTGTATATACAGTTGATCGATTTTGTAATTTTCAGTTTTGGATACCACGCACATTCGCGCACAATTTGTAAAAAAATCATTTCAAGTACTAGAAACTTTTGCTTTGGAGTGTACACACATTTTAACCATATGATCACCCTCTGAAAGTTTCATAAAGATAGTCTAAAAGAAACTATTCAACAATTTAATTCTCATAATATTGCCCACACTGCAGCGCAGCCCAAACACAGTCAGCAGAGCGCGTGATTATACGTGCGTATGGATGCGTGTAAATGCATGTGTGCATAACAGAAGTGCAGAATGAGTAGAATATCAGATTACTTGTTTTCAAATCATTCTAAGTCTTTTGCAATTCTATTTTTGGATTAATTTCCTGTATATCCCCTTTTATTTTCAAACAATTTTTCTATCCGGTTGGACATACTCCTAATTAGAGCTTGGCAGGTCTCATTCATAATCTTTCTCCATGTTTCTTGGACACAGTCCCCTATTTAGCGTTTGTTGTCTCACTTTTTCTCTACCATCTCATTTGTTAATTCAGTCCACACGTTTTCGATTGGATTCAGATCAGGAGAATTACTGGGCCAAGCGAAAGTGTCCAAAAATTAATTAGGTATGACAGAATTTCCAAAATTATTTTGGTGTACTTATTTTCASCATGAGTGAAATATAATAATATGTACTTAAGTCTGCAACCATATAATGCACGCGGTGTGTGTATGTATTTACATATAAATATGTGGCCGTAAACACCTCATATTTGCTCAGTTCTTAAAACGAGCAAAAATGTGAAATTTGCAGGATTTTTTTTTATATTCCACGACCCTAACAATTTTTTTTTGGGTCAGCGATAGAGGTAACCTCCTAATTACCAGCAACTCAACTATCCAAATTTGAAGCTTTTAGCTTAAGAGATATAAACTTATGAGGTGGTCAACACGAATCTACATTCCAATTTCAGCGTTCTGGCTTTCAATTAATACGATTTCTGGCATATCGGCAAATGCATTTTCCGATTGAAATAATTTAATTATTGACAATATCATTGACAAACTATAGAGTCTTAAGCCTGAACAAAATACGCATATAGAAATACACTGGTCGGCATATATATTCTGACATCATTTACATTTCACTATTAGTCTACTTTTCTAAGTACCGTTGCATTTAACGAAGCGAAAATGACTGCCAAAGTAAAGTGCACACTAATATACTGTAAATTTGCGAAATATTTTGTCTATTATGTTTTGTCAGTTCTTTCTGCTGATAACAAATGCCAGAAGCCAACGATTTTTGCAGCCGCATAAGTATTTTGACAAAAATGTAATACTAAGAAAACAAGTTTAAACTGAACAAAAGTAAAAGAATGAAGACAAATTTAACCATTTTGAGGACCTGAATCCACTAATTTTTGCAAAAAATCTGGACATATCCCTTATCAAGGCAAGTGTACTCAGAAATTTCCTCTTTGATTTTCTTTAACTAAATTGTTATTTTGCGTTTAAATAGACTCTACAAGTAGTGTTTGGTATGGTATGGAATACTAATATCTTTAACACTAAATAAGACCCGAGCTATCATGGCAGATAGCATTATCCTGCTACTGGAAAAATGATTTTTCGATATGACGATAGTCGGAAAGACAGACATTATCATTTAGGATACTCAAATATTGACACTATTTCATTGAGTCAGAGATAGGAATGAAGTTATCTAGCCCATTGAATGCAATAAGTCATTGGAGCATGACAGAGCCTCTACCATGGATATTTTCTCTTCAAGCATTTTGCTTTTTGGCAAACAAAATATCTTTTTGAGATGAGTTATACTCCAAGAAGCTGTTGTTTGTCCATAAGAGTGACAATAAGTCAGCCACTCCGGGCATCACCTTGTCTTTCGTCTCTCCTCGCAAGCAAGTATTTTTATCGAAGCTTTCATAAGACACTAGATGTGAGGCAGTATCTGCTTTTATTTCTAGCAAGATATCAGCCAATGTTTTTATATCGAAGTTTAGTTTCGCAACTCCGCGAGAAATTGCTTCATTTAAGATTAATGTGCCTGTGGAATATTTTACAACCATATGTGAYCCTAAATTCTGGCCACCTCATGTAGTTGTGCATGAATTCAAACCTAAGAATCGTAACAAATCGACTCCAGCTTCCTTGAATCTACCTTCGGCGCAATCATCATCGAGCATTATACCAAAAAACTGAATGGTTTACAATCTTCTCATATGTCCCTGGTTTACCAAAATATACGAGGCTTAAATACTAAACTTAAAAATGTATTCTTACATAGTTTTAGTGTACAATATGATATTATCGCTTTCACTGAAAGATGGTCGTGTAATAATATTCATAACAGTGAGATCCTTTTAAATAATTTCACTATTTATAGACTTGACCATGCTATGCGTAGAGGGAGTGG